ACCACTGATGGAAAAGAACCAACTGACAAATCCTAAAAATCAGAGGTCACTGCATTTGACCTCTAGGTACAGAATATTCATGATGAAACTCTGAATCGTGCACATGCATGCTCCGTTTTGGCAGAGTGAGTGGAAAAACCAGATGAAATGAAAGTTCATCAGTTAGGTCTAGGGTTTCGAATTGGGGTTTTTGAATTCTAACAACGAGAATGGAAATTGGTCTCACTAGCTTCATCTCCTAGGGACAAAGGAGACAAATCTGCAAATTGATTTGAAAAAATAAAGGAATGGTGTTTCGACCTCACGAGTTGTGTCTAAACTCTCAGATTTGGAGAGCAAAAAGGTGAAACTAGCACGATTCGGGGGGATGGAGAGACAAAAAGTATGAATCTCTGGTTGATTTGAAGCCTTGCACGAATTTGTGCAAGGTTTCTTTGATGGCCATTCTGTTAGGTTGAGAGAAGTGAGAGAGAAAAGGGAAAGAAGGGCGGCGGGGTCAGAGGGGAAATATATATTTTTTTAAAGTAAATTATGCTACTAGGCGGGCTGCCTAGTAACTATTTTATTAATAATAGAAAATAAAAAAAATCACAAAGTAAGAGTACAAGTAAGGAGGGCAAAAGCTACAATAGTGTTTTCTCTATAGCATTGGCTATATAATCATCCCTATGCGCCTCAATTGCCTTATGATGGTAGCCTCATAAAGCCTTATGATATGGATATGTTGATCAACGGGATTGAGGGGACATAATTTAGGGTTAAGGGGGTTGGGGGTTGGTCTTTAGGCTTAAAGGTGAAAGACTGAACGGGAGCCGTTGGATCTGTTGATCAACGGCTCCGATTATTTGGTGATTGGATTTTTAAAAAATGTTTTAAGTGGGAAAATCGGGGGCTGTTAGATCAAAAGAATTTGGATGGTTGAGATTAGATCTCTGGGTAGGGGGTATTTATATTAAAAGAAAAAGTCATAGAATAAACGTGAGCCGTCGATTAAATTTAAATAACCATGAAAAATTGGGCCAAAATGATTTTAAAATGGCCATTTTGTCTTTGGTTTAAAATTACAATTGTAGCCCTTTTGTCTTTTAACCCCTTTTAAATTTAATTTAAATAACCTTAATAATTTTCAATAAAATATGGTAAAATTATAATTACTATATATACTACTAATTATTTAATTAACCACTTATAAAACACTTATTTTTCCTTAACTACAACACTAATTTCGAATTTCACATAATAATCTAATTAACTAGAAATTAAAGAGTAATTTATCAAATTAATTATAGAACCTATGTAATGTATATATAAGAATTATTTTAATAATCTTAAAAATAGTAAATATATTTTTAATTACATAATGTTAATACTACGCGATTAATTTAAAAACTAATACTTGGTTAATTTGTAAAAATACGTACTTGTTACTAGAAAGTACTTTAAAAATATTTATTGTAAATTATTAAGTATAAATAAATTAATTTAAAAAGGGAGGGTCAAAATTGGCCATCAACAGCTACCCCTCTTTGACCGGAGACGATAAAAGAGTTTTCGGGCAAAGAAATTGAACCGGAGTCAATTTTGTCCCGACTTAGGCATGTATTGTAGGAAATGGGAATGGTGAATTGCAAGATTGAGTTAAGGAAGAATCTGGGAATATTTTGGAAATATTAGGGCCGAATTCTGGCTTTGAATTGGCTACATACCTCGGACTTAACAAGGATCAGGCCTCATGTAGTTCTGGAGTAGAGATTTTGGGGAAGCGGCACTTTCAGGAATTGCCCCAGTATCGTATTATGACGATACAGAGAGACAGAGGATTGGGCACTCATGATGGCTTGATTTTGCGGCCTGATTTTTAATGATTCGAAATTTTGAGTTTCACTGATCGTCTTGAGCTTGGATCTTAGGCCCGCTAATTGGTTGGTTGTCCCCATAGCATTGTGGTTCGGTCTGCTGCTAAGAAAATGTTACACGCTGCGGTGTTTGTTCCTGCAAAACAAATGAAATACATGCACAACAATATATTGTAATGCAGAATATATTAAGATCTGATGTAAATGATGTAGGAATGATAATGCCTGGATGCCAGTGACCCATTATTTGGGATTAGGATGATGGGATACTTGATCTTGACTCTATTTGTTAGCCCGCTGTGTAACGTTCAGCAGCTGTCGAAGCATTTGAAAATTATCTCCATTTGTTGGGAGATCTTGATTGGTAGAGTGCGTCTCCAATTGTTGGGAGAGCTTTGCACTGAGGAATGTCTCCTCTTGTCGGAAGAGCTTGATTTGTAAAGTGCGTCTCCGCTTGTTGGGAGAGCTTTACACTAAAATACAAAGTAATCTCCATTTAGAAGTGATTGACTAAACCGTAATCATACCTGAAGCTACGTGAGAAAAATGTTAAAATATTCAAAGCAAATAGCAAATTAAATGAAAGCATGCCCAAACGAAACTCTTGACTGCGAAGCTAAGTTGCGGCCATCGATTGGCGGAACATCGATGACGAGGTTTGCGATTGTCTATTTTTGCATCCGTTGAGATGGAGCAGCGATGCAAATTGCTTTGTTGGAGGTTTGCAGTTTGCTATATACAAGGCTTCGATTGGCGAAGCCGACGTTCGATTTGTGCAGGGCACTCCGATTGATTGAACTAACAGTTTACTATATACAGGACTTTAATTGATGAAGCCGATGTCGATTTGTACAGGGTGCTCGGATTGATTGAGCTGATGGTTTTCTATATACATAACCTCAATTTGTGAAGTCGACGACTCGTTGTACAGGGTGCTCCGATTGATTGAGCAGGCGATTTGCTATGTACAGGTTTTTTCCGTATCAGCTGTCTGATTCCGAGGTACCTGCAAATGATTCAAGAGTTAGCTTTAGTTGTACTATAAGATATTAATTAAAGGAGGGAGAGAGATAATCTTAGGCAAGAGGAGGATCCGTCATTTTGCCCCAGTGTGGTCCTAGTGCTTCCTTACTCCCTGTCGACCCTGCACTCAAAAAAAAATTCTTAGTGGGGGAGAAATTGGTTTGTGTCGACCACAGTTGTTGGTTTTACCCATCTTTTGACATGATTGCGCCATGAATTTCAGTATATGGAACAAGTTACTGTATAGGTATATATTTTTTTTAGAAAACATTTTGAAGATAGCTTTTTTTAAAGGCAAATGCTGTCGTTCTAGAGTATGACAGGCTACGAAAGTTCTCCACACGCGAACGTATCCTCTTGAAAACTTTTTCCTGTTGATGTCGATCCTCCGTGATGTTTCTGACAACGTGGCTACTTGTGACTGCATCCTAATTTGAACTAATGCATTACATGGCTTTCCTAAGGTCTTGACCGAACCTTTTCAAGTTGCCTACGTATCCGAAAGGGAATCAGGTCTAAACATAGTTCGTGGATTATGATGAAATATGATGAAAATGACCTAGCCTGACTCAAGCAGCCTACGTATCCAAATGGAATCAGGCCAAGATGTAGTTCGATTACAACAGATGCAAAATGCATGATTAAGAATGAAATTGGCCGAGTCTGACTCAGACAGCATACGTATCCAAGTGGAATCATGCCAAAACGTAGTTCAATTACAAAAGATGATTAAATCCGATGAGGATTGCCTACGTATCCCTTTCTAAGGAAATCAAGTCGGCATAGTTCCAGAGAAACATACAAAAGTGATATTTGGTTTTTCTATTACAAGAGAAAGGGGGGTGAGAAATCGAACCCTACGTGGGTTGCCTACGTATCCCTCTATGGGAAGTTAGGTTGAACGTAATTCTGTTACATCAAAAACCTAACTCTATTTTTCTTCAAACATAGTATCTCTTGATTGCATCTGAGTTGATAGGCTTTGTGTTGACTCTTCCATCCATTTTTGCCAAGATTAGAGTACCACCCGAAAGTCCTCGGTGAACCACATAAGGACCTTGCCAGTTTGGTGCAAACTTTCCTTTGGCTTCTTCATGAGAGGGAAAGATTTTCTTCAAAACCAATTATCCCGGTGTGAACTGGCAAGGCTTCACTCTCATGTTAAATGCACTGGCCATCCTGTTCTGATATAGCTGACCATGACATACTACATCCATTATTTTTTGTCAATGAGCATGAAATGTTCTTGTCTGACCCGTATCCATTCTGCTTTATCCAACTTTGCCTCTTGAATGACTCTTAAAGACGGTATCTCGACCTCTGCAGGTATCACAACTTCAGTGCCATATACCAACATGTATGGCGGTACTCTAGTGGATGTTCTCATAGTAGTCTGATAGCCCAGTGAAGCGAAAGGTAGCTTCTCATGCCATTGTCTGTGATTGTCCACTATCTTCCGCATAATTCTCTTGATATTCTTATTGGCTGCCTCGACTGCCCCATTTATTTGTGGTCTGTAGGCTGTGGAATTGCTGTGGACGATTCTAAACTTATCAAAGATTTCTCTCATGAGGTCGCTGTTGAGGTTAGCGGCATTGTCAGTGATGATAGACTCCGGTATCCCTAATCTGTAGGCGATGTTGTTCCGGACAAAATCTGCCACTACCTTCTTCGTAACGGCCTTGTAAGTAGATTCCTCGACCCATTTGGTGAAATAGTCGATAGTTACGAAGATGAAGCGATGTCCGTTTGATGTTGCAGGCTCTATGGGTCCAATCACATCCATGCCCCAGGCGGTGAACGGCCAAGGTGAACCCATTATGTTTAACTCATTTGATGGAACCCGAATAAAATCTCCGTGAATCTGGCATTAGTGACACTTCTGCATGTAGTGGATACTGTCGCTTTCCAAGTCATCCAAAACTATCCAGCTCTTAAAATTTTCTTGGCTAATGTGAACCCATTCTTATGGGGTCCGCACATCCCTGCATGTATTTCTTCCAACAGTTTGATTGCTTCAGCAGTGTCTACACATCTCAACAAACCTAAATCTGGGGTTCTCCTATACAGGACTTCCCCATTGAGGAAAAAGTTGTTTGCCAGCCTCCTGAGTGCTCGCTTTTATACAATAGTAGAATCTTTCGGGTATTCTCTTATTGTAAGGAATCTCTTGATGTCATGATACAATGGTTTACCATCTGGTTCTTCATCTACATGGAAGCAATAGGCATGTTGATACCTGATCTCTACCTCGATAGGGTCGATGTAGTTCTTGTCTGGATGATGAATCATAAATGATCGGATTGCAAGGGCGTCGGCGAACTCGTTTTGAAATCTGGGGACGTTCTTGAACTCAATCTTTGTGAACTTCTTGCGTAGCTCCTTCACACAGTGCAGGTACAGAAGTATCTTGACATTCTTGGTGGACCATTCTCCTTGGACTTGGTGTATCAGCAAATCGGAATCTCCTATGACCAAAAGTTCTTTGATATTCATGTCGACTGCCATAATACTGTCCATATTCCGAAATCAGGACTGCCCCAATTTCGACTCCTTTGAAATTTGCTGCTCTATCAAAAAATATTCTCTACCCAGGGTACGATTCTGCAATATCTTCTCCGGCAAATAGTGCTTCTTTATCGAGGAAATACGTGGTAAGCAGCCGTAACCCCTATCCATCAGATTTTTTGCGAGGTGGTTGGCTAAAGCTTGTCCTTTGATAACCTTTTGAGTTATGTACACAATGTCAAATTCACTGAGGAGAATATGCCATGTAGCCAGCTTTCCGGTAGGCATTGGCTTCTGGAAAATATACTTGAGCGGGTCGAGCCGAGATATCAGATATGTAGTGTATGCCGACATGTAATGCCTTAGCTTTTGAGAAATCCAAGTCAGAGCACAACAAGTGCATTCTATCAGGGTATACTTGGCCTCGCATGGCGTGAACTTCTTACTTAAGTAGTAGATGGCTGCTCCTTTCTCCCAGTTTCATCATGCTGCCCCAACACACAGCCAAAGGCGTTATCCAAGACTGACGAATAGAGAAACAATGGCTTCCCTGGTTCGGGGGGAACCAGCACTGGTGGGTTTGAGAGATACTCCTTAATTTTGTCGAAGGCGTTCTGGCACTCTTCTTGTTACACCCTATATTTTTGTACGTGAGAGTACGTCGTAAGTCAATTGATGTAAGGTCAAAAATGAGATCATCTTTGAAAGTACATCAATTAAGTTAATCATGTTACCGTGGAGGTAAAAAATATTTAAGATCATAAATAAAAAGTACCAAGAGGGTTGGAAGGCTTAGAAGCTAAATGAATTGAAGAAAATTAGTTTCGTCGAAACTCGACAAGTTGTGAATGTTATAACATGTACTTTTGGGGTGAGACTAGGGTGCTTAACATGATAAGGAGGCTATGTTATGAGTTGTTTTAGTCGTATCATAGTCGTGTGTTATGTTTTGAAGTCAAGCGAGTTGTGGAACAAAAGTTGGCAAAGGTCATCACAAGTTACGTTCATAAATGTGCTAAAAATTAGGTCCAATGTAGCTGACATTTTCTCCCAGCATACGTGGAATTACGGGATGATCCACCTAAAAGATTGATGACCTAAGAGTCTAGTTTCTAACTCATTAAACCGTTTATCTATACAATATCGGAGTAGAGAGATATTTGCATTTTCGCGAGACTGCGCAGACTACATAGGTGACAAGTAGGTGTGTTACCTACTTGCTTAAATGAAAGGACGAAACATGTCCAAAAGAGGATAGTTTGGGTCGGCCAAAGAGCCCTTTTAAGGGCTGATCTCCTTCAGATATTACACTCATTATAGAGCATAAAACCCAGAGATAAGCCCCTGCAAACTCCTCCCAAAAATTCAACACAAACCCTAAATGATTTTCTCTTCTTTTCAAGTTCTAGTTGGATGAAAACCAAAGGGTTGAAGAACCAAGATAGGATCTAAGATATTCACCAAATAAGTTATGTATACTTATCTCTTTCATCCATTTTTTCTGCTGGAAAAGTATAGAAATTCGTTCTACAATTGTAAGAACTCACGGGACGGTGATCGGAAACCGTGAAATCGAGTTGTTCAACTTCTAGTGGACTGTTTTGTGGGCTGTTTCATGTTGCTGTTGCGTTATATATTTTGCTACTATTTTTATGGAGTTTTGGAGGAGAAAAGGTGTGTAGAAACACCACATAATGGCAGGGTGGTTGGCTGATCATTCGTCGTTACATTTTTGGGCTGTTTGACGCTACTATGGTTGTCGTTTTGTGTATGAAGTAATTGGGGTGTGTGGGATGTTTTTTGATATTTTGTGATGGAGATAAGGTTGGAACTGAAGAGCCAGTGGATTCAGCAAGGGGAGATAAAATTGAAGGAATGTATTGTTGATGTTTTCAGAATAAGATAATAGACAGAAATATTAGCAGGAGAATAAGAAAAGAGTAAATGAAGCATTATGAGTAAGATGTGATAAATGAGTGATAACAGTAAATCAAAATATGACAGGATGACAGAGTCTATAGTGAAGTGAATGAAAAGACAAGAGGAGACTGGCCTTGAGACAATAAAAGAGATAAGCCATAAAGTCATATCCTTATTTCGAGAAATGAGTTAGTGGATCCAACATGATTACCAGAAGGACAAGTTAGACCCCCGGATTAATAGAAATTAGTATGGGCTTGTGAACAAGATAAACTGAACATAAATTAGGGATCGGAAGATTTGATAATAGTCGACATCAAGAGAATTTCAGAGATCGCATTCCGAAAATAATAGAATGGACAATAGAAGAATAACCTTCAAAGGTCATTCAGGGAGATGCTTCCCTGAAGCAAGCACTGTGAGGAGAGTTAAGCTTAAGGGACTAAGTTTGCCAGTTACACTAGGTGTCACCCTCGTGCATATGAATTTCAGTTATCCCTAGTACATAAGGGTTACCGCAAGGCGAGTAAGAGTCATTGAAGATGTAAAAAGATGCCAAAGATGAAGAGGTAAAACATTTATAGGTAAATATTCATAGCATTAAATGTTAGTACTCCCCTAAAGCGGGGAAGATGGTGTATATGGTATTAAGTGGTTCATGTAACTATGGAATAGTAAAGGAAGCGGTAAAAAGATGAAAGGAATGAGATTGCATTTATTCAGATCTTACAAATATATTACGACTCCAGAACATTATGCAAGCATGATGCCGGGGAGAGGCAGTAAGGGTTTCCGGCCAGGATGTTATTGATAAATAAGTGTGAATGGACACTTGATACATTCGGAGCCCGTGCGAAAGGTAAGTTAAGACAAAAGACATAACCCAAGAGAGGTACGCAGAATATAGATATGAGCATGGACTGACAAGTAGTTAGTAGTTGATTAAGGAAGGAAGAGCCTAGGTATGGCTAGACAAGAGGTCTCAGTAAATTGACAGATCATGCAAGATAAACGTAGTGAACCCCAACATAGGGAATTCAGTCTCGCAGATATGAAATCGTAATCCTTAAGAAATATTCAGATAGGAGTTGGGGTAGTTAAAGGTACCATATAAGTGTTACACAAATAAAAGAGAGTGCCATTGGGGAGAAATTCAAAAATTTCAATTCAGAAGCAACCCTACGAGAACAAGGGCATGGAGAAAAGAAAATAAGGATAATTATAGGCGAGTAAGAGCATCAAAAATTATGTCGGGTATACGAGGTGATAAGCTCGCATATTTACAAGATTCAGAGGGCCTCCCCTATGTACTACAACAAAAGACTAGCTGAGAAAATAAGGAAGAAGGCTTCAACCTAAGCACAGTGACCAGAAGAAAAAATGATCTTGGAACAACAGTCTCACTACAACATTATATGCACTCCATAATAAAGTGGCACCTATCGTCACCAATGAACGAGAAGTAAAATAAAAAGTAACATTCGAGATCATATAAGTTGCACGAAATTCTAATATATGTGGGCACTATAAGCCAAGTATTCATGCAACAAGTGACAGAACGACCACGAAACATAACTGCTTACTTTAAAAAAAAACTGAGAAGGCACAGAAGGAATTGTTCGATCAATGACCCAGAGTTAATCACGTTATGAACGCACTTAATGTTTTGAAGTGTTATCCATGCAGCATATATATTGACATTCATACAACTATAGGAGACTCCGGTATAAGTTAAAAAAAAGGAATTGAGTCCATGTCACAGACAAAGGCTTGAATTGTTAGAAGGTTATATCATGGATCTTCCATAGCATCCACGAAAGGCTAAAGTAATAACTAATGCCCTGAGCTGCATATCAGAAGATAGCTTAAGCCTACTTAAAGTCTGAGAGAGAAGAGGAAACTAAAGGGTTACATCAGCTAAGTGAATCAGGAGTCTGATTATTAGACCCAGATAATTATAGAAATCGCGATTCAGAACATTGCAGAATCACTCTTAATATCATAGGTACAAGAGAGATAGTATAACAGCCATATTCTATAAGGGCTCTACGATAAAGCTAGTTGGAAGAGTACCAGCCTCATAAGAAGTCAGTATGAAGATTTCACCGGATTGTGTATGCATCAGAGCTGCAAGTATTATAATAGAGCTTTAAGGTATGGATGTGAATTCTACCCATGTGGAAGGGAGGTTATGAAAGCGACAGAAGATACAATGCAAGATTTAAAGGTAAGAAAGGTAAAGGTAAAGAAGGTACGAGATACTCAAGTGCAAAAGATTGTGAATAGTCCAGTCTTCAGATAGAGGGCTAGAAGCGTTGTGATTCAGTATCCAGAAATAATAGTTGTATCTTCAGTAGCATATCTTTCATCCGATGGTTTTCAGGTACCGAGAGGTCTAGTTAAGAGGGTAAAGAAGAGTTAGAGACGGCGTGATATCTCGCTTGAGGTTCCAGAATAACATAAGGAAATCTATGGTACTAGTAAGTTAAAGGAAAGTTGCGAGTAGTATAAATAGATATGTGTAGGTCGTAAGCTAAAGTATGGTAGATAAACAAAGTTTTAGGTAGACATAAGTAAGTACAAGAAAAGGTGAGTGAGAAGGTGACGAGAATAGGTAAGGCCTCAGGATTAAGCCCATCAAAACAAGAGAGCTGATGGTTTTCATAAGTTATAGAAAGCTCTGTATAGCGTGAATAAACTCGGAGGAGTTTAAGACTAGGTGCATTTAGAAGATATGGAATGCTTCCCTGCTAGTAGAATAAGGGTGTAATTGTGGGAGATAAGAGAATGACGTCTAGGACTTTGACTGTGTAAGGATTCAAAGTAAAAGGATTTCGTGAATTGAACAGTGTTAGAATACCCCCATAAGATGAATCACATTGGGATGCTATGAAATACGGTTATTGACGTATTGTATCGCCGCTAGGTGGATCGAGCTAATCACTTCAGATGTTCCCCGATGAGACGTGAGCCCTAGTGACGATATGTTATGTAAGAGGTTTAAAGTTATCAGTGGTATATTATAGATCAACATTAAGGTGAATCAACAATAGATGGATAAAAATTCTAAAGTATGAGATGAGATTAGGCTG